TTTTTGGCATAAGTACTGCTTTTGTATTTAATAAATATAATTCGACAAGTGAGACTAGATTGCGTAAATAGAACTCATCGGCAGCTAGATATAATTCGAGGATAAAAGATGCATCGTAATTCTCTAAATCCAAAGATCCATTATTTATAAAACTAGATGAATTGGAATTATAAATATTTGTTATTAAACATTATACTTAAACGAATTAAGTTACCATATATATTTATTCACCTTAATATGGCTTCAAATACCTCACATCTGATATTTGGCAATTCAAGACAAATGCTACCATCCTGCTCATGATTACAATAATCTGATGCACATTGATCTGAGAATACGCTGCAAAAATATGACGAGTTAGCTGATAAAATTTCAGCGTTTACGATAAATCTTTTTCTTGGAGTGTCTACGTAAATCGTAACATCCGAGGAAGAATTGATAATGATTTGAGGATTCAATGTGTTGAATGATGACGCCATAATTGAAGAATCAACATTGGATGTATTACATGTATTATTACTAATATCGGTAAATACGTAATTTTTAAAAAGAGTTTCTGATAGAATACAAAAGTCCAATGATGATGACATTATATATAACAAATTTATTGAATATTATCCTCTTTGTTAAAAGAGGGAAAATTCAAATTTGAAAAGAAACATCACCAGTTTCTATTTAAATAAAATTTTTTGATTAATTCTATTTAGGATCCATTCATTTTTCTCATTTTATTTTTAGTTAATTAATACAATGAGAAGAATATTGACAATATCATTGGTAAAATTATATTATTTTTTAATTTGTATTTACCTTTATTTGATACGTCTTGTGTTGCATGATAAATCGAGTGGATCATTAATACACATGCTACACACACATGTATATCAATTTGACCCACAAATATTATCATTATACATGTAGTATACACAAGAAAAGAATAACGATAAGAATGTGAATAAATTAGGCGTTGCTGTGGTTTACTTTGTTTGGGTTAGTTTCAGATTCTATGAACGGGATTTGAATGGAAAGTGAAATTTAGACGTGAACATCAAAAATTAGAAACTTATTCAAATATTTGGTTAAAACCAAAAATGCAATATGCAAATAGGTACATGTAATAAGGTACACGTATTACACATTCAAGCATGCAAGAAAAATTAATCAAGCGAAAAGTAGCAAAATACGTATCAAACAAAATCTTATTCTCGATGAATTCGTATTATTGGTAGAACATATTTATTGGTGTTATGCATTTTATTTTTAGAATGGAAATTATGCATCCATACATCATTATATACTCATTTTTCCAGTGTTGCAAGTTGCATATAATGACGACACACCGCATACATCTTAAAATTAGCGTTAAGATGGATTTGACAATTTGTATAAGAAGTATTACGCTAAAAGCATTATTCAAACAAGTGAGTTTGATGTTGGTATTCTACTGGTATTCTGCTCTAACTAAGGGTGCTTTAGATCATTACGTTAAAAATCATTTTATTGCCATACGTGGTTATGTAAGATTTACGCCTAATTCTTTGTATTGAATACAATTCCGAATATTAAACCTATAATTTTAAAGAGAGCTGATAAGTATGTACATTTGCCAAATGG